TTTCAAGATTCCATTAAGTTAATTATGGGTTGAATGTCGCAGTTTTACGTTACTCCATGGTGACTTGGTCAGATGATGTTGAATTCGTAACTTGACTTATGATTAGGTCGTATTTCGCTCCGACCCTGGAGCAATATCGATAGCTTTCTGGGCAGGATTTTCTAGATAGGGCGTCAATGTTTCCTTATGATAATTCCTTCCGATGATACTTCCGGATAGTGCTATCATATTCTTGAAGTCTCTGTAAACGTCTTGCTACTTGGCCTTCGGAATTCCTAAAATTTAAAACCCAAGTAAGCGATGCGTAATCTGTGTGGATCAAAAAATTTTTTACTGTACAGATGATGATGGAAATGTTCTACGGCTTTAACTATGGCGAGCAACTTTTTCCTCGTGACACAATAATTTCTCTACTGTTTAGATAGACACTTGCTTTAGTATGCTACAACACCCTCTTGACAGTCTATTTCTTGGAAAAAACCGTGCGGACACTCTCATTTCTCGCATCGGTCTCAAGAGTAAATGGTGTGTCGATCTGATTGCCTCAGATGTTAAAACTTCTTTCAGTTTGTTAAATCCGTCGTCACATTCTTTTTTCCACAAGAACTATTGCTTCTTTTCTGTCAGCTGGTAAGGAGGTCTTATGATGGATGAAACGTCCATGACAAAATTCCTATAATGGGTGCAAAGCCTCAAGAAAGTTCTCTGTTAGTGGACGTTTGCGGAGCATCTCCAGTCTTTAACTGCTTACACTTTTTCTGGATCCGTACACGCAACTTCGGCAGAGATGATACGTCCAAGATAAGTCACTATCTGTCTGAACAATTCGCATTTGCCGAGATTTAATTTTAGATTGCTTTCGTTCAATTTCTGCAGCGCCTTCCTAAAATTTTCTAAATATTTTTCAAAACTCTTCCCGACGATAATGTCTGCAGGTGTATCAGACAGGTTTCATAGAAAAGTTCTCTGAACGTGGTCTTCATGAAGTGTTCGAATGTTGCTGGCGCACTACATACTCCAAACAACATCATTTTGAACTGCCAAAGTCTTTGACTGGTAGTAATTTTGTTCTTTTCCGTCACCAGGATGTATCTTTACTGCAAATATTCACCCTTTAAATGAAGCGTCGAAAATCGTTTACTTCCAGAAAGATAGTACAGGATATCGTCAAATCCAGGAAGAGGATAGATGTCTTTCTTCGTAACTTCGTTCAATCGGCGATAGTCAGTGCAGAATGCTTCCGTCATGTCAGTCTTTCTTTCTGACCAGGATGTTGAGGCAAGCCCAAGAACTTGCTGAAGGCTCGATAACGTCGCTTTTCGCTTTCTTGCACGTCGTTTAGAAACTTTCGTACCTTCTTCTGTTTAGCAGTCGGTAGACGTCTTGCGTATTACTTGATCGGTGGATGATCTCCTGTATCAATTCTGTGATGTGTCAAACTGGTTTGGCCTACCTCAGAAGATGAGCTGGAGAAAACCTCTCAAAATTCTTGAATGAAGCGTTTCTGCAGTATTCTTCTCTTTATAACTTTAGACGTGCGTTTTACAGTAACTCCGGTATTAGATTTTCCGAAGACACAGATTCTGGAGGTTTAGTGTTTCACTTAACACACTGGAGTACATGGTGCAGCCATTTCAGCTTTCCTAATGCTATTCGCCTTATGAGTTATATTGGCAACTCTCACCGGGAAACGATTCCCGATAGGTCACGAGTGCTGAGGCTATAAGTATTCCTTTCGGGTTGTTACAATTCTTGAGTAACTTCATGCGAAACTGTTTTCAGGTATATAACCAGGAAGTAAAAATTCTGTTGTTGCTGTTACTGTGATGTATTCTTGAGCTATTATTTAATGGACGGATTTGACTCTTTCATATTTAGTTCCGAACAGGCTGATGTCTTCCGAGGCAGATCGCAATTCGTTATTCATAAAGTCCAAGGAAAAATTATATTTCCTTAGAAAGTTTAATCCGATTACACAAGGGTCGGTAATATTTGCTACATATGCCTGTGATGGTAGGCTGCACTGGTTCCCGAACGTGATGTTAACGTTTAACTTTCCATCCATTTCAATTTTATAACAGCACATAACCTGGACAGTAACGCAGGGTGACGTCCAGATTAATTTACGCTGCAGTGCTATTTTGTCTAGTGCATGTGCATTTTATGAACGATTTGCAAGTATTTTCTTTGATGATTATTGATAATCTGTTGAAGAATGGTCTTTACTAGTTGTGGACCTAATTGTTCAGAAAAGTAAGCAAATACTGAAAATTTCGACTTGTTTCCATTTCCAAAATTGTATTTTATGTAAAAGAAATCATTTCCTCGGCAGAATTTCAATCCATGAAAGCATTCTAAGGTAGGTAATGTCTTTTTTTATAAAAAATATCAGTTGTTTCATCCTTTATAAATTTTTAATTGAAAGAGATACTATAATAGTATTCTAATTCATGTATTTAAAAATTATGTATCTCTCGGTAGTAAGGAAATTAGGCTTTCATGTGTGATATTATTAAACTTCTATAATATTTTGAATTCAGTAACATCTGAAATTAATTATTCGCTAACAAATAAGAATACAGTTAGTCAACAGTGAAAAAGCATTCATTTAATCTGTAATGAAATATGTTACTAATTAATGTATAACATTTTCGTTAATAATATGTTTTTCACAAATACTCGCAATTTTTTCATAATGTCGGAGTAATGAGTTAATATTCTGTAGTTCAGCTGTACGGCATTTTCCAGTTCCGCAAATGTATTTCTGAATAGATACTTAAGTCCTTGGAACAAAACAGCATTTTTATTTTACATGATCTGTTCGTAAGATGTCCTAGTGAATCAAGAGTGGTAATCGATATTGAATTTGTTTCATTTTTAATTTGGGAAAAAGTATTGCCTTGAACCAGCCATTCTAAGATTAATCGCGAATTTTTATGAGTAAAAAGGAACCTCTATAAAAATAAATTTGGTTTATCCAAACTCCATAAGGATGCCTTACCTTCAAAACTGTCCAAGATATTTATCAAGTGCATCTTCAGCTCTTTAGTGCTTTTAGATAGAATTTATAAAAACAATTAGTAGTTTGCAGTTTTCTTACTAGAAAAACACTTTATGATAAGAAAAAAAATATTTTTACACATTTTCAATTTCTGATGCGCATAAAAACCTAGGAAACTTTATAATGCTTCGCCAATTATTTTGAAAGAGGATTGTAATGTTTCAAATATGGATATATTGCGGTGTCGAGTAAACAATGACAAATAGGCAGCGAAACGCTGTTGTTTGTTTGCATCGGTTTGTGAGCAGGGTACCCACTTGCTAAACTTGTATGTCATTCCTATGCGTTGCAAATGGAGTCTGATCGTTTCATCAAATACCTGGAAGTGTGCAGCAAGCTCACCACATGTTTGCCTACTGTCACTTTCTATGGCTGTTCTCAGGGCCTCGTGGTCCAGCGCTTGTGGCCGACCACTGCGTGGTGCATCACTAAGAGACATATCCCCTGCCTGAACTTCTGGAACCATTGCCTTAGCGGTTCGTTCATTAACAGCAGCATCCCTAAAGACCTGGCAAATTCGGCGATTTGATTCTGCTGCTGACTGGCCCACTTTAAAATCATTTAAAACCACTTTAAAAATACAGCAAACAACTCCGAACGAGCGCCTTTGAGGCGTCCATTTCAATCAGTCGCTGTGTGAGTTATGTTTGAAGACCGATGCAACGCGTTTTTATACTCTTGCTCAATGTCCGGACGCCCATCCTAACCACTTCTTGGCCAGATTCGTCGACTGTTTTTATGTTGGGGTTCACTCTTCAATGTCATATTAGAAACGGCAAGAACGTTTTTGGTTACCTTGTGTTTTACCTAAAGAAACACTTCACTGTTCTGGAACTTTCCACAAAAATAGTCGTACAGCTCTTCACAGTATCGCAGAGTATAATCAGTAATTACACTTAACAAAAATATTAAGAACGTTAAACACAACGTAATGTACAACGCTTTAAAACTGCCAAGCTATCTTCAGTACTCCGAATTTAACTCTAAGAAATAACAACCAAGTGAAGATGCTGTTCCAGTTGTATATAGTTTTCAACCGAGCGCCGAGAAATCTCTAGTAAATTCCATTTCTCGAAATTGCTAGAAGGAATATATGATTAAAGTTACATCTAAGGGCCAGATACGGTTACAGCTGCATATAAAAGTTAATTAAATTTTTTTTCAATTATAATACCCTTTACAGGAACTGAACTAAAATGTCGCCAAATGGTCGCTTAGTTTGGCGACTGTTGACAATTTTTTCCCAAAATATGGCAAAGAAAATTTGTCACCAAAACCATTGCCAACTTGGTGATATCTCTCCAATTTAGCGAGACAGCTATTTACTCAATAAATAGACTTGCTCCTGTATTCTTACTTTTCCGGCAACGTTTCGCTTCTTAAGATTTTCATGTTACATTATACAAAAGAGTAGTGCAATTTCACATATAATTTCACAAAAATTATCTACCTATATGCAAAATTTGTAACAATAAGGTATGTCTTTCAAGTATAATATGTAATATACTGTGAATACAGTTGAATTAAGTATTGATACTATAAATGACTAATGGCGGACAAATGATTCAGTGTTTACAGAAAAACATATTGAAAGAAAATTTACCGGTTGGAGTAAGTAGCAAGATTGAGCCGAAATGCTTTTTCAACTAGCCACTTCTGAAAAGCTGGCTTAGAGCTGGAAAAGTAGTGGGCTATCGAGCTTGTGTTTTTTAAGATAATATATAAATGTGCTAACCAATCAGCTGTTACTCTGTAAATATCATACTGAAGCTCAATTTTTAATTTAAAACAATTTATGGGTTACTATAGACATATTTATCCTGTACAGGTTTCAAGAATTATCTCTCTTTTATATAAATCCATTGTGTCTTTAAAAAATGATCATCCCATTTATAATTTACATTATTTTTAAATACAGAATTTCTTTATTCCATTTTAGTGCTGGTAAGAAATATGAATTATTACTAAGCTTACCCCACAGTATAACTACGTGGGTTATTCATGCCATATCAGTGTCACCATCACATGGAATATGTGTTGCAGAACCGAAAAACGTTGTGTCCTTCAAAAAGATTTTTCTACAGTTGGATCTACCATATTCTGTGGTACGAAATGAACAAATTGAAATTGCAGCCACTGTCTTTAACTATGGTGATCAGACACTACATGTAAGTTCAACTTTGGGTTAATTTTTATTTATTAGACTTTATTTTATAGATAAATATGAACTCTTATCTTAAATTAGAAATATAGAGTACTGTTTTAGGCAATCAAGAAAATTTTCTTTCTTACTATGCACCCTCCCAAAAAGAACCATAACTTATTTTTGAGAGGGGAAGAGCACAATAGTACTATTTTATTACGATGGTTCCATCAATTATATTATTTTAGAAAAAAAAATATTCCCAGTTTTGTCTCATTTTGATAAATATTTCGAAGTACAGTGAAACCTCAGCTCAAGAATTTAATTCATTCCCGAAGGCCGTTCGTTAATCAGAATGTTTTTAAGCCGAAATAATTTTCCTCATAGGAATTAATGTAAAATTGATTATTTTGTTCCTTATATATTTTTGCAAGTTCATAACCAATGGAGATCATTAAATGTAACGCAAAAAAGTTTAAAAATATTAAATAGATAAAATAGACGAAAACATAATTAAATTTTACGGTATCTGACAAAACAGAGTGAACGGCCGACCATACGTGGAAAGTGACGAGGAAAATGTTATTGTTTGGATGAACGTCCTATTCCATAAAATCATTACGTAACTATACTTAAGATGAATCTTCTTTTATCTTTTCCTTTTCTTTAAGCAACATTCGATTCTTTCTTAGACTCACTGAACCTTTAGTTTCACTCAAAATCTGTATAAAGTGTTTGTCGTTACCTAGGTTTTAAGATGTTTCTAAAGGTAGATATGAAAATGCTTGTGCTGTAGCCTGCTGCTGCTTTATCAGAATGAAATCGTTGCGTAAAGACTTTGCATCTTACCCCTTTTGCCCAAATTTCTCGGGCTAGAAAACTAAAATAAATTTTCTTTCTTCCTCTTCTGAAAGCATTTTCCCCCAAATCCGTTTTTGTTGTTGCTTCTAGAACTTTAGTTCTTTCTTGATTAGTTCATTTTACGGTCGTCTAACAACTAAACCGCGTTTTTATTATTAACTTCTTACCCCATGGTTTTGCTTAAACTGCAAGTATCAAAGCAATTACAGTTTCTGCCTGAAATCCAATCTGACCATAACTTCCTCCAGGTTGAATTCATGATCCTGTAAGCCACTTTCTGCCAGGCCTCTGTTAATGAGAATTCATATGAATTAAGCAATGGAAAATAATAAAACGATGTTTATAGATGTCGCTGAGTGTTAATTGTGTGGCATAGGTTACCTCAAAACACCTATGAAAGTCATATATGGCCGACATAAATGTTCGTAACTTGAAACACCATTCGTGATCCGAGGCGTTTTCTGTTTAGATAATTTAGGAGCATGATGTTCTGCTCTACTGTATATGCTTCCTGATCAAAGCATAATCTACACTACGTGTCGTTTTGAATTTTTCGTTATTTTATATCCAAAACTCTAAGATAATAGAAATGACATGGAAAGAGCGAATACTGCTTATTCAGTAATAACCTTTAAATTCATGAAACTGAATAAATTATGTTGTGAGAAATCAAAAGTCCCGCATTACTCCTGTAATATATATTTTTCTATTCTTATTTAAGGTGCAGCATTCATTGCTCATGAAAAATGGAAAATATACACTGAATGTGAACGAAGATATGGAGTCTCTCTTCATATCAATGTAAAAGTGTTTGTTTGTACTGTGATAAATTATTTTAAGTTAACATATTGATGCGATAAAAGGCTGTTGTAAGTCATATTGTTTGTTAAATTCTCTATCTATGCCACTTTTGTTTGATGAACTAGCTGGAAGCGTAATTTTAAAGCTACACAAATTTACACAATAATTCTTTTTAATCAGCACAGCTGTTACATTTCTCGGCACATTGTGAATAGCAAAATTATTCTGCATACACAAACAGCTACTCAAAAATTCCGGAACGCCTGGACATTTTCTTTAATTACTCCCTGTTGTAATGTTTTAGTTTTCAGTTTGTGATACCTTCTGTAAATTTTTAAGATATTTCTCCTGCCTTCCTAGCGTGTATTCGTGGTGTAGTGATCAGCACACTGAGCCGGTATTTTAGAGGTCCGTGGTTCGATTCCCGGCGAAGGCGTTGCTAATTTTTCATCTTGCCTGCTTCCAAAAAAATACCTAATGTCTCTACAGTGGCTCCCGAACTAAAAGTGTGTTGGATGAGTATTCTCCACACCCAGGATTTAGCGATTGGGTCCCCTAAAAACCCCCAGTCGCCCTTTAAAAGGAGGATTATGTAAGGTATTTCTCTCGCCTACCTAACCCGTCAAAAATGGGGAAGGTATTTAAAGAGATATTTTTTATTTTTGGTTTCTAAACCACATTTTCTTCAATATTTTCACGTTTAGTAAATTTAGTTTTTACTGTTTTTAATTCTTCTCTTAAGTGTATTGTAACCTTATTGGACTGTATTCCACTAAAAACAAATAACATAACTTTACCTATACTTATATTTTTTCAGCCTTCTATGAATTTAGTTTTAGTTTTTATACATAAGTGAATGCTAAAGTTTGTATGATAATTTATTGGAAGCCTTTTGTGCAAAAATATTTTCTAGGGTACTGTGTATATGTATGGTGTGGAGCATCTGTGCACTGGAACTGCAAAAGGTGAGAAAAGTGACCCGCAATATCTGATAGTTGAGGGACAATCAGCAGTGACTGCGACGTTTCCTGTTATACCGCTGGCAGAAGGAGAGTTCGATATTAGAGTTCTTATTTTAAGTACTGAAGGAAGCGATGCAGTGACGCGAAAGCTACATGTTGTGGCAAGTATTTCAGTTGTTTATTAAGGAACTATTCTAATTTTTTCTGTTGAAAATTGTTCATCTATCAGTAAAATATTTTTACTGTGTGGTTAGTTCATTTTAATAAGATACCGCCATTTAATCGCCTATTTTCCCCTTTTACTTCCTTGTACGAAGTAAAAAGGAAGTACTGTAATCGCGAAAAGTTTTCAGGCATCATATTTCAACGCAAATATCCATTTTTACTGATATCGAATGCAATTTAACGATGTTTTGCTTGACATCTGTACTTAAGGATAGAATAAAGGACTCTTTTCTCCACTAAAAACTGTGAAACTAATTTAAAATGAATTCCGAAGAGAATTTTACGTACGTATCTCGCATAACTCAAAAACGAGTAACCTCAGAACGTTGAAATTTTGTATGTAGGAATGCTATAACATGTAGATGTGCACCTCGTATTTTGGTTGCAATCGACCGCACCAAACGTATATAAATATGTTTATACATATATCCACTCTGTTACCTGGCTTAGTGATCTCAGTTTCTTTACTCTTATACGTTTGTAAATTGTGCATTTTTTGCTTTAAAAATGATTGAACTATGTTGTTTTTATCTTCCGGTTAAGGTTTTTATGCCTTTAGTAAATCTGTACGCAATATTTTAAAGTTGTCTAAGTGCCGCTAAGCCTTTTTTTTATGGCGGCCATTGATGTTTACATTTGAAACAGAAGAGTAGTGGATTTGTTGCTAATCTAGAGAAACCTTTTTATTTTTAGCAAAATACAATTGTTTTGAAAAGTTAATCTTACCTGAAGCAGCCCCTTTACTCAGAAAACATGCTACTGCTTGCACCCATTTTCCTTTGAATGGCTGAAACATAAAAACTAACACATGGTCTCCTTGCTGCTCCTTTTGATGATCAGGTGTGAAATCCCCTAAATCTGTGAATCCTTGAACACTTAAATTTGTTCTGTCAAAAACAATAGATGGGGATACCTTCATTTCATCAAGAAGCAGGATTCCCTAAAAAGAATATTAGAAAAATATTTTAATTAATTTTTCTACTTAGAAATGGAAAAAAAATGCATTTTTGTTGAAATGCTTCTTTGAAGAGGATGAAATTATCACTGTTAGTTGAAATAAGTTCTTTCTCATAATTTTCCTTGTGATCCCCAAACTTCATCATACATTGGTATAGCAAAAAATACACATTTACACATGGATTTTTTTTTAACTTCCTGGTTATCAGCACACCTAAGGAAGAGTCACAAACTTGTTGCCAGCCTTAAGGAGCATTTGGTATCTTGTTAGGGACTTTAGACTAACATTTATATGGGTGTCTTTACGTCTACTTGTACAATGCATTTTTTTTTACATTCTTTGTCCTGCATGCTTAACTCCTCAAAAGTAATTACACTAATTGATAGTTGTGTTTGGAGATAATTAATTCCATTCCTTCCAAACAGAACTATCAATGCAACGCTCCCCCCAAAAAAATAATAATAAAAATAAAAAACTATTTTCAAAAGTGCAAATTAACATGTACTCAAGTTTTTCTCTTAACAAGCTTTCGATATTTCCAAATTATTGGTACTCTTTTAACCTCCTTCCAAGCGGTGCCATTATCTTAGTGACTCCTGCGCTGATATTAAAAAAAATAATGAACAAAATTTGACCCACTTCTCAAAATGGTTTGCCATGGCTGATCTATACTCACAACACCACTGCTTTCCACGCCGTAAACAAAGAATTACCTCTCTTTGGAGCACCATAATGACTAATACAGTCCAAAGTTTTATGCTATAAACGGCATTGAATGGAAATTTATTGTGTCACGGGGGTGTCATCGATTGCTGGGGATGTTGAAGGGAGCGTTTAATAGGATTAGCTAAACGATGTCTCAGAAAATCGCTTAATTGCTCCTTGCTGGATTAAGAAGCACTCTTTACTGCATTGCTAGGGGCAGAGGCTACCTTGAACAACAGACCATTAGTGTGTGAGCAAGGAAATGACGATTCCGAAGAAACCTTGGATCTAGGTTATTTTAAAACTTGTCAGAAACTGTCAACATTGCCATCGAAATCTGAATCCGAAAATACGAAACTTAAACGAAATTATAGGATGCAACAATTTTGGAAGAGATATTCTAGAGAATACTTTCTGGAACAACGCAGTTATTATCAAGTTCGGGATACCACATATTAGTTCCCTCAGGAAAGGAGATCTGGTACTTCTGCAGGGGAACGTAAGGCATACGTGGAAAAGAACTCTTGTTGAAAGAGTAATCGAAAGCCGCGATGGAAAGTACAGATCATGTGTACTGTGTGTTGATCGCAAAGAAATGATTCAACCTCTGCAGCTAATCAACCTCTTGAGGTTGATTTGTTAGGACTTGTGTTTCTCTTGATTTGCTTTGGAAACATGAATAATCCTGAATAGGAACAGAGAGCTTACTCAAGCTATGTTCAAGAAGGTGTGAAGTAGACAACACAAGCAGGAAGGGTATACGAAACCCTTTTTTGCAATCTTTTACAGGCACTTCCGAACTTCGGAATACAGAGACCAACCACTTGTGGTCTGAACGTAAGAATATAAAAACTACTAACTAAAACTCTAACTAAAAGCTAACTTTGAATTAGTATACAAATGCCTAGCACTAAGACTGGCCTTTATTTAAAAAAAGGTACGTATGTAGTACGCCGAGCTGCTGAAACTGCGATACGTCTGCAAATATCAAGAGGCCTAAACCTCTGGCCTTAAAAGGCAACCAGCAACCGAGTGAAAACTCGTAAAACTACAGTGGAAAGCGGCTTGCTTCCTAAAACTCCTTCTCTCTCCCGCTTGGCAAATTTTAAGAGATTTGACACCTATGTAAGCTAAGAATTCGATGGTTAATCCCAGTATTTAATAGTAGCACATTTTTTTAAATAAAGATATCATTCCAACGTAATCTTGGTAGTCCACATAACCTAGCACCTTTAAAGAAAATTAGGTATTGCTTCTTTGTGATAATAAATTCAAGCTTAAAGGACACCAATTATGAATTTTTTCTTAGATGCAGCTTAGCTCTGTTTTGAATTTGATTTCTACTTTTGTAAGACTACAACTAATCAACTACGGTTAGTACTAATAAACGATAAGTCAGCAGAATAAGCTTGAAAAATTACACCTGCTTTATGAGATTTCTAAAGCAGAGTCTTCAAAAATATTCCACGATGTATGTGCAATACAGGAACCTTGTGGGACTTTTTTTTTTTTTTTTTTTTTTTTTTTTTTTTTTTTACGCTAGAAACATTTTCTTTGTGATACATTATAGTACGATCATACAAATAATGTTTGATTAACGCAAAAATATTCTTTCGGCAGTTTAATGCTTTTAATCTCATCAATGTAGATAGCCACCATAAATGGTTGAAACCTCACTTGACATCCAGCTAAATTATACTAGTATGTAAAATACTTCTTTTATTTTGATGAACCGAATACCCCACATTCAGCACGGCATCAACGGCACATTTGCCCAGAACAAATTAACTATTGTGTCTTTGATAAGTTACTAAAGATGAGATAGTGTGATAACTGTTGATTTATCATTTTATCAAGATTTTTCCTCAAGTTGACAAGAGACAAATTACCTGATATGCTGGTGAATCTTCTGAATTTTTAGCGATTTTAGAAAAATAAAATCAAATGGGGTACTTTCCGACAATTAGGAAAATAATGTGTGTTTAAAAATGTATGGAAGATTTATTTGCGAATAATGTGGGATTTACAATCCTCGGCTTATTAATGATTTCTAAGGCTAATCTGTCTGGATCTGGAGCACGATTCTTCTTAATACCTAAAAATAGAGGCTCTATTTCTTCTTCCGTAAGATTGATATCATCCTCAGAATTTATCAGAAACTTTCTCTGATGGCGTTACAGTGTGATATAGAATGATAATGAATGGTGATATCATGGCTCTTAACTCTTTGAGGAGATGGGATACGTAATAACAGGATATTGGATTCTAATCATTATGTCTTCATGTTTTACAATTTTCTTCCACGGGAACTAAATAATTATGGCAAACGTACGCAACAAGCTTGGTTACAAGAAGACGGAAGACCACCCATTCTTCTGTGGAGGTGGCTCGTGAAATGTTTCCCAGCCATGTCGAAATTATGGCAGTTCTCAAATCCAAGGTGCAGTACAGAGCGTATTGAGAATGTGTATAGAAAGAAAGCGAATATCTAAATGACTTCATCTTTAAAAACGTTGTGAACATAGAATATTATTTTTACAATTTTAAGTTATTCATTAGTATATCTGTTAAATAAATCTTATTACTCTACGCAACTTAGCTGTATTCTGTTAATTTCAAACTCGTCAAGTCTCTCTGTTAGATCTTCTAGAATACTAATTTGAATAACAGCACTTATTTTATCATTTCAGCTAGAGGGATATCGTGAAGAAATTGCTATTCCTATTAGACTAGATCCTTCAAACTTACAACGCAGGAAAACAACACACATCATTCATGATAGATATACTGGTATGTAATATCTAATTTGATTTTTAGATCCTTTTAAATATGTATTATTTTCATATATAAACCAGCTATTCTAGAATTGTACATCTGAATACATGTAATTCAATTATTTAATCAATAATTAAAGGGAAATAAAATAGAAAGTTATAGGTATTGTAAAGTTAACATATTAAAAATTATTCATCGCATCAACTATGATGTTATTGTATTTTGTGTAACTCCAGATATCCATAGCAACTTGGAACGCATCTCATCTGAATATTCAAAAATTTCTAAAAATTTATTTGTTTATTTGTAGGCCAAATATATAAAGAGTGCTTCAGATAAGAATGAGTAATTGCATTACTTAGGCAGAAACTATTAAGATAAAAAGGCAAACTTTTCAAATTGCCATTAAAGAGTGATTCTTTTCCTTCGAAACATCAGTTTCATTTAAACGCTAGAGTCGTTTATGAAAAGGTATTTCGTATAATGAAAGTTATTATAAATTAAATTGTACGCTTTTATAATTGTAATGTTGTAATGCAGCGATTCTCAAACATTTTGTTTTGAGGAGCCCTTTTTTAGAATCAATTTATGTGGCGGAACTCCCCCGAAACTATATGTTAAACAAGTTAATAGTGTTTAAAAACACAACTCCAATGCTAATTTATGATCCTTATGATGCAGTTAACAAAAGACGGCCTGGAGCCGTTTTCAGACATTTAGACTGATTAGAGTATTCAGTTGTGCTTTTACTTTATTTTACTTGTATGATGTTATAGCATATTATATTATTATTCGTAACAAAGCCTGGGGTTTTCTGTGCTCTGGTGTTTTCCTTACTTTCAACCAATAGCTAAGGTTCCGCCAGCCAATCGTTAAACTTTCAGTCACCTGCACCATTTGACTCATCTCGTCGCTCCCACTTCTCCATCGCTGCTTTACATGCAAGTTTCGACATCTGATATGCTTCATTTCGTATAGACTTTATAAAGTATTTCTCCCACTTTCCTAGCGTGCCTTCGTAGTGTAGTGGTTTTGCACGCTGGGCCGGTATTTCAGAGGTCCGTGGTTCGATTCCCGGCGAAGGCGTTTGCTAATTTTTCATCTTGCCTGCCTCCAAAAAATACCTAATGTCTCTACACCTTTATTAACGAATAATTTACCATCGTTTTTTCACCTAACCTTGGGATTTCTACAAAGAATATTCTGCTTATTAAACGTTATGTTTTCATTCTACGTTTATCACATATTTTATTAGCTTGGGATAGGGCTCCGGCCCAGGCATGCTTGTTTTGTGGCCTCTGGCCACCTAAGAAGTGTTTAAAAACAGTGTAAGTAGATGGATGAGGGGATTGATAGTAAATGAACGTCAAGTAAAGAAATATAAACACATATGAATAACCATACAATGGCCGCCTTGACCAGGGGTCGGCAACCTTTTGAAACGGAAGAGCCAAAATTTACAATTTACAAAATTTCCCAGTTTTTAAAGAGCCACTAAAAAGTTTCGTTTCAGTATTATAGCTTATATATATTTGATTTTTGACTTAACAGCTTTGAATATGGAATAGCATATATATATATATTATCCGTATATATATATATATATATATATATATATATATATATGTATGTATATAAACACAAATATAGACAGTTGTATCAATGGGAGCATTGGTTTTGCATGCCTTTTGGATGTTTGATTAAATCTGGCTTATAACTTGTTGTTTTAAGTTTCAAGCACGATTCTAGATTTTTATTTGTTAGTTGACTTTAAAAGTTACTTTCTATTATATTCATACAAGAGAACGCTTGCTCGCACGAATATGTCGACCTGAAGATCGTCAGTACTATGCCAATTTCTTCACCTCACTGTACCACTTTGAAATACTATTCCATGCTCTGAATATGAGGGCTTCAATTCGCGGAATTTCTTTTAGAGTGGTCCACTTGTGCTGCTCGATGTGCATGCTTTTCTGGACCTCAAACTCTTGCAATTTGCTCTTGAGTCCTGTGAACTTGCCACTCCACAAGTCTTTGGTTTTCTAATACAGCAGTTGCATTTGAAGCGATCCAGCATCAATTTCAAATGTCTCATTGTTGATATAATTTATATTTGCGTTGAGAGGATTTACTAAGAACGCAAGAGTACTTGTGTTTGTTTTGAATTGCTCGAATCTCTCAGCGAATCTGTCCTTCATATTTTTCAAAGCTATGTTGAAGTAATTCATGTCAATAATTGTATTGGTCTCATTGCGATATACTTCAGATTTTTAAAATTTACCGCTCTCCGTGTCTTCAACAAAAATAAGTAATTTGTTTTCAAAACAAACTACTACTTCAAGCAAGACATAGGCTGGGTTGCCCTTTCCTTGCAGTTTTAGATTTAGTTCATTTAGTTTCAAACATTCTACATTAAGTAGAATTTTTGCAGCCGTTTGTCTTCTTCCAATTCGGGACGGTTAATGCTTTTTTTCATTGAGGAATTTTTTTATTTCACTCAAACGCTTCTTGGTGAATTACACAGTGACAAGTTAGAATTTCATGGTTTATTTTTTTCTGAAGAATTAACATTACCCCTCTATGTATTCCTGTCATACTTCTGGCTATCGATAGCAATCCTACAGTTCTTCGTTTGGACCTTAGGAGGACATATTAACCCTACGAAAAGGGTAACTTGTGTCGTGTCTTTATGTCACAAGACTCAGCTATAGAAAGTGATAAGGCAGACGTCAGCTGAATGCCTTTCACGTGCATATGTGTTACATTTGAAAACATCTTAGCAGAATTTCTACCTTGTACTGTTTTTGCAGATAACCTCAAATCTTTGATTTTTTTATGATTTTTGCTTTAATTTTAATCTCACGAAACAGTTATTGAGATGCACGTATAAAACAATCTCTGACGTATTTGACGTGAATGGTTTTACTCTTTTTGCAATTTCTAACGATACTGCAATGCTTGGCAGATTTACATTATTGAAAGATTGTCCCCAGTTACTTAGAATGGAATATGACTGCCTTTTTATTTTTTGGAGCTCTTCAAGAGCTTTGTTTGTGCTTTCCCGGTTGTATATTTACCAGCAAACTGGGTATATTTTGTAGTGAAGTGTCTTCCCAAATTCGACTTATTTTGTGCGAGTTTTTGGTGGTAAATGAGACAACTCGGAAGGCCATCTCTGTTGCATATGAATGCAAACAACTCCGCCCAATCCTGATTGATTTCTCGGTTTTCTTTTTCAGTTCTTCTCTTTTTTTTTACCAGCTGCCATGCTGACGGCAGATCTGAAAAAATGATCAATAGTTCAAATTAACAGCACAGTAACAATGGTTCAAATTTATCTCATCACGGTCATGTTAAGCGTAATTAACGATTATGAAAAATAGAAGCTATTGAGAAATTAGGTACTTAAAAGTATATTTTCTTATTTTTTAAGGGTTTTGATAATGAATTATTAATTTTTCTCTATAGAACTGGAGAGCCGCAACTTTAGTCAAAAGAGCCGCACGCGGCTCGCGAGCCGCAGGTTGCCGATCCCTGGCCTAGACGGTACAGTGATTAGGGGAGCCTACTGCGGTACCAAAGCGTCCGAGTTCGAATCTTGGAGAAGGCATGGATGTAAATTGTCTGTCACTTCATAGGACTTAGCGGTGGCAGCTTAATTATTGTCTCCATAATAAAATGACCACCGTTTCCTGCTTTAGTAGTGGCAAAAACCTAAAAACGGCTACTGCCCGCTGTATAAAAAAATCCATAAAATGAAATTATTTTAAAAACTTTGAAATTTATCTTAGTGTATCAGTTTATTCTCAATTAACACCAGTATTCACAGTATACTGTAAAATCTTTGCCGTACAAAAAATTTTATTTCAAATTCAATATATCACACCATCAGCGTTGCAACAGATTATCAGCGAGAGCAACAATAAATTAGATCCATAAGATAGATTCAAAATGATCATTCTGGCTCACTTTTCTGAAAAGCTGAATGACTATCTCCTATCAAGTTCTTTTGGCAGAACATATATGTTTTTACCTATGAGTATTATTATGACTATTTATTATGACTCCCAGGCTCTAAATCTTTCAATTTTAAGTTTTAGGGTAATATCCAAGACTATTAAACATTTCCATTTCTTGGTAAACATTTTTAAAAGTTTCTATAAAATGATAATTCAGTAATATGAGAAGTAGTATGATAGTCTGTTTATTTAGAATTATTTTTTAGAAATAGATGTTCTAATCTCGAAAATTGTCAGTATTCATTTATTTAATTTTATAAAGGTGATTCTAATGTTCAGGAAAGTCATGATGTAAAGAAATATATTCCCAATCACCTTTATCTTGAAATATTTCAGTAAATTCTTCAATTAACGCATATCTAGAAGTACATTTCTAATCAATTTTATCTTGAAATATTTCAATAAGTTCTTCTGTTAATTCCTGATATATAGAAATACATTTCCGATCAACTTTATTGTAAAATTCTTTCAATAAATTCTTCTGATTTTTTTTAGTTTAGAAATACAAAATCAATCAACTTTATCTTTGAATTTTTCAATAAATACTTCAATAAATACTTTATGATATTCAGAAATATATTTCTAATCGACGTTATCTTGAAATTTTTCAATAAATTCATTTGATAGTTCCTGTCTACCCAAAATATATTCCAATCAACTTTATCTTGAAATTTTTCCATAAATTCGTGTGTAATAATTCCTGATTATTACAAATTCATTTCCTATAAAGATTATCTTGAAAGTTTTCAATAAATTTTTCATATTCAGAAATGAATTTCCAATCAGCCTTATCTTGAAATTTTTTTATAAATTCTGTTAATTTTTTATTTCTATAAATAATATACCAATGAACCTTATCTTGAACTTTTCTATAAATTCTTCCGATAATTTTTCATTTCCAGAAATATCATCCCCATGAACCTTATCATAACATTTTTTCTATAATTTCTTCCGATAATTTGTGATATTTAAAAATAAATTTCCAATCAGCCTTAT